GCCCCCTGCCGGACGGGCCGGGCCACGCCCCCCTGCCGCTGCTGCTCACCCGCGCCCCTCACTTGGCACCTGCTTCTGTCAGTCTGACTGTCGCTGCTCGGACCGGCAGCCTCAGGACTTTAAGGAAGGGCGAGCCAGGAAACCCCGGCCTCTGCCCCGCCCCAGACCCTCCCAAGGACGTGCTCCCGCCCCCTGTTAGGGTCCCAGGCCGGGCTCCGGTCTCCACCCCGCCCCCGACTGCCACGCCCCAGTAAGGGAGGGGGTCCAAGGCAGTCCCAGGCTGGTGGGGCGGAGCCGGAGGACTCGAGCCTAGACCGCAGGACTCAATCCACCGAGCACAGCTGCGTCGAGCCCACCTGGTGAGAAGCCCCTGGGGTGGGGGATCCTCCTTTAGTCTTCTGTCACCTCTCTACCCCCATCCCTTCCCCACTAATCCTGGCTGACACTCTACTCACTCCCTTCTCAGATGCAGGCCACAGGGACCCTCCATTCCCCAGGGACCTGTCCAGCCCTCTTCCCCTTTCTCTCCTGATCAAACTTCTTGGGTTTTATTTTTCTCAGATTATTGAGTTGTGGTCCTTAACCTCCTTCAAGATTTAGGAGTCCAGTCTTTCCTCCCCTTTCGTAGATCCAGGGGCCCAGTCCAGGCCCACAAGCCTGCTTTTCCCTTGGTCCGGGGAGGGTCCCCAGCCCCTCCTCCTTCCCACCTAGCTACCTGGGGTCCTAGCCCCTTCTTGTCCTGGGATCCAAAAATGCTGCCCCGAATTCTATCCGTAACTCCAATGGGCTCTTTCCAAATCTTTCCCTGCTGAATTCACGTGCAGGGGCAGTCTCCTAACCTCCAGGTTGACCCTGCTCTCCGTGGGGGACTCTTCTCCTCCCCAGGTCCCCCTCCCGGCCTTTGCAATGACCCTGGCAGCTTCCTCCCAGCGCTCCCAAATCATTCGCTCCAAGTTCCGATCTGGTGAGAGGCTTCTCTCCATGTGTGTGGGGAGGAGGTTCTGGGGTTCTGGGAATGCTCCACTCGGGTGGAGGAGGAGTAAGACACGTGAAGCATGTGTTTTCTGTGCAAAGGAGTCGAGCTGCGGTAGCCATGAGTGCACATGGTTAGTACCGTGCTCATGTGAGCAATGGGAGTGGAAAACTAGGTCCAGGCATTGCCAAGGGACAAGGGCTTAAACAGATGTGTGTGCAAAGCAAAGAAACACAGTGGAGACTGAGGGTGCCAGTGTGAAAATACGGGTGAGGAGACAACAAACCATCAAGCCTCGGAAGTGTCAGAGGTCGTGTTTTAGGTCCCAGGGCAGGTAAAAAGTATGCCAGTGGGTAGAACTGGAGGTCAGTTCCTGAGTGAGCAGACGGTACTTATGTGTACAAATGAATGTGTTTTTACATGGTTGGGTGGGTGTGAAGACACCAGTAACCAAGGAGCAGGGAGTGTGCAAAAGAACCTTGGTCCAAAACTGGGGTCCACGTCGTGAGTGTACAAGTAAGAGTGTTATGTTAGCATGGCTGAATGGGTGAGAAGGCAGAGTGAGCCAGGATGAAGTGTGTAAAAGGGTATTGTGCACAAAAGCAGAGTGTGTGCAAAACTCGAGCCCAGAGAGATGTGTGTTTCAAAGGCAGGTGTGAAGAGAGGGTGACTGGGAGGGGCTAAAGGGAACAGGGGAGGGAGCAAACATGCAAAGCAAAGTGCAAAAGGGCCAGGCTGCCAAGATGGCAACTGGACTGGGGGTGGTCACACGCGTGTGCAATGGGCAGGTGGAGCCAGGGCAGGACTGCCTCCTCCTGCATGCTGGCTGGCTCCTAGCCCCAGAACAGCTCTGGCCCACAGCACTGCGCTGGACGGGAGCAGGCGGGAGGCCCGGGAAAGGGAGCCGGCTGCCTGCCCACCCCCCTGCACGGGTGCCGGTGCGTAAGGGGGCTGGGCACCCATGTCCGCCAACAACTGCAGCTCCCACCGCCTGCCAGGCCAGGCTCCTGGACACTCCCTTCCCGCCTTCCTCCTCCCACCTCCCTCCTCCCTCTACAGTCCTCCAGCTTCGGATCCACAGACGGAATCAACACTCGCGTAAGTGTGGGCCCCAAAAGGGGGGATGGTGGCCCTGTCTCCTGGGACATCCTGAAGTCCAGCCATCAGATGTCCTTCACTGGCTCCTACAGCGCAGACCCTGTGCACCAGGATACACTGGCCCGCCCTGTCCTTTCCCAAGGACCCAGGAGTCCAGGTCCTCAGCAACCCTACTCCTGGGGCTCTGCTTCCTGCTGTTCAGCCTTCCCACCTCGAGATGCATGAATTCAGATGCTATTTCTGGGAGAAGACATGCGTCTTAGACTCCACTTCGGCACATGAGAATCTCGGGATGTGGCTTTCTGATTCTCCCTCTCCCCAAGAACCAGGAGTGCAGGCTCCACCCCGTCCCAGCAAAACCCCAGAAATCTGTGATCCTCAGCTGCTGCACCCTTAGTGACCGGGGACATCATCCCTGCTGTCCTTGAGAATGTAAAAGCCTGGGTCTGCAGCACGGCCCCCTCAGATCCAGGAACCCTGGTACCCAGCTTCCACCCCTTGGCTTCCGCTCCCAGGGCATGCTTTTGTTAGTTCCTGCACTGGGGCCTCCAGAGCCCTCCTTCCCACACGGCCTTGCTCCTCCCTGCCTGGCTTGTTGCCTGCAGGCCTCTCAGGGTCCTTCATCTCTCCAGTCTCCGATCCGGATCCCTGGATCTCAGCCTCAGGCCCGGCCCCGGCCCCAGCCCCAGCCCCAGCCTCACCTTCGGGCCCCGCCCCTTTGCTGTTCAGCTCTGGGGTCCTGCTCCCTGAGCCAGAATACAGTCCATGGAGGCCCCTGAAGAAGGTGAGTGAAGTCCCCCTGAGGTCTAGCCTGGCTCTTTGTTGCTGCCTACCGCTGCTTTCTGGGCGTGCCAAGCTGACTGTGGCTTTGCATGTGGCTCTGGGGCAGGCAGGTGGAAAGTGAGCGCAAGTCTCTGACATCGGACCTACTTTTCCAGGAATCTCCCAAGGTTTCCCAGCGTTGGAGGGAGCCTAAGCCTAGGGGGAACTTGACATACCACCAATACGTACCCCCAGAGCCGAGACAAGGGTCCAGGGCAGACCCTCAAACTGAGGAGTCAGTGCTGGGTCCCCCTGGGCCACCTCTGTGGAAAGGGGCAAACTCACAGCAGCCAAGTCCTAGGTATGGCCCCCACCCTTCCATCCCTATTTCTGTTCTCCAAAGACCTAGAAATTCAGGCCCCAGCACTCTCCTCCCTCAAGCCCAAGTCTGACCAGGGGAGTAGGCCCCAAGTTCCCTCTTTCTCCTCTTCTCCCAGGAATCAGGAGTCCAGGCTCCCAGGCCCTCTCCCTTCAGACCGGTGGGTTTGACCCCCCAGTTCCTCCTCTTCCACACATAGAAATCTGACCTCAAGCATTTGCCCTCTCGTAGGCTCTCACTTTTCTGCATCTTCTCAAACTTCTGTCTTTGAGGCTCAACAGAATCTTTTTTTCTCCCCCTGGTCCCTTCTAACCTCTGTTCCCACGACCCCGACAATCTCCAGGATGAAGCCAGCTCCCCTCACTCCTTCCCCACCTGGAGTCCCCAGCCCCTCTCCCCCTCCGCACAAGTTGGAACTTCAGACCCTTAAACTGGAAGAGCTGACGGTGAGTTTGGGGTGTAACCTCCCAGGTTGGTCTTCTCCTTCGGTGGGAGCCCAGAAATTTAACCCTGCAGACTCTGTCCTAGGGAAATCCAAGAATCCAGGTCCCCAGTGCCATGCTTCTTAGGGTCCCAGATATCTGGAGCCCCAGTCCCTCCTTTCAGTTCCGAATCTGTGCCCGGGAGTACGCCCAGTAATCGCGTGCCCCGTCCCCACCCCAGGTCTCAGAGCTACGGCAGCAGCTGCGCCTGCGGGGCCTCCCGGTGTCTGGGACTAAGTCGATGCTCCTGGAGCGCATGCGCGGTGGAGCCCCACCCCGCGAGCGGACGAAACCCCGGCGCGAGGACAGTTCGGCCGCTGCTCCCTGGCCGCGCCTCAGGCGCAAAGCCCGGGGAGGCGGC